TCTTCAATTCTTTCACCATTATAATGGCAGAGGAATCAATAGGGAGATGGTTTAGGATTGTCTAAATCTACACTGAAAGCTGCAAAACTGTTCAATACAGAAAACTGTTCTGGTGCAATGACATTTTTCATTAAAATGTTGTTGCCAGTACAGGATGCAAGTTAAAGTTTAGTTCTTGTTCTGTGGTGTTTATGCTCCTGACACGCTTCCATCAGAATAACCTTTATTTCATAATGAAATGCATGGTCTATCCATTTATTCAAACTTTCTTTCCCTGCTCCCACAGTAATCTGGCAGGAACCCACTGCCACCTGTACACAAAATCCAAGTACTTTTTTGTGAAACTGCATTAGGAAAATGGGATCAGCCTTTACAGATGAACATTTTTAACTTTGTTCTATATTCAGATACCACGCAATCTGCATGTGAAAGTTAGGTGCAATGAAGATTCAAAACTCTTTTTTCAATGCTAGAGGCCACCTCTGGTAGTTTGTAGAAGTATTCAGCTCTGAGAGTTATGGTGTGCAATGCATTAGAGGCTCTCTGGGATCAACAACCAATGAAATAGTTATTGCTGAAAAAATGAACACAACTGGAACAAATAAAGACATGCTGACTGTTAGCGAGTGAAAGTTCTCTCCAGTGGTATTCAACCATGAGCTCAAACTTTTTGTGCTAAGTATCAATCTCAAGAACTATTTACTATCCTTCAGACAGGGAGACACTAACTCAAGTGGAATATCTATGCTGTTTTAGCTACTTGACAGCAGCTGACAGCAGCTGGCATGGTTCGTAAAATCCTTTACAAGGAAATGAATGGCTGCTCACCGCTGGAGAGGGGATTGGGCAATGGTAACCCATGGTTTAGTGGCTAGAGCACTTTGCTGAGGTTCAAACATTCTCTGGATGAGCAGGAGTTAGAACTAGGACCTTTTGCTCTCCAGGCAAGTTACCTATCAGACTATTGGAATAAAAGGTGGAAAGGCTCTCACTGTTATTTCTAGCAGGTATAATAAGGTGAAGAAAAATCCCAAACTCTATATAAGTACATAAAATGCTATTACATAGCTATGCATATGCCAATCAGGTGGATAAGGCAATATGGAATTCAGCCCTTTTGTCCACATTTAACACTGTTTTAAGCAAATGCTATAAGGACTCCAGTAAAATAGTGTGAAAGGGGCATAAACATTAAATAACATCTTCACCTCGGCAAAGAAAGCAAAAACATATGAACCTCATGCTACGAATCTGCTGGAAAGAGCCTGCTAGATGCAATTTTTTCAAACGATGGATAACAGATTATGGAACACAGCTATACAGGTAAATAGCATGGGTCACTGGCAGCATGGCCACAAGAAATAGCTGAAGACAAATGTTCTGAGAAAGAAAACTCACATCTGTGGGGACAAACTTTATATGTAAAATTTTTGATAAACATGCACATCTAAATGTTCTTTGTGCTAAGATAGCACCAAGAAATTCCAATAAAGAATAGGGCACTATTATGCTAGGCACTGTACAAAAACACTAAAGGATAGTTCTTATTCCACCTATTAGGTGCCTGAGATGCGATTCCACTCTGATCAAATAATGGTAAAATAGTTCACATAAAAGACAAACGGGTCCTGCTGCTCACTGTTTTTGTGATTTAGTCTTAAGGCTAAGACAATAGAGAGTTAAAAATGGAGACTTTTTTCAGGGACTTGAGCAGAGTGGAATAGATTTCACACTTAGTAACCTAATAAGATCTGTCCTTTAAAGACTGTCCCTTTGCTGAAGAGCTTACAAAAGAAACAGACAAGACAGAAGAGAGAAAGGAAGCATTATCTCCATTTTCCAGATGGGGAAATGAGGGACAAAGAGAAGGGATTTGCTCAAGGTCACAAAGGACATGTGCCTCAGCTGGTAAATGAACCTAGATCTCAGAAGTAGTACAGTGACACAAAGCCATCGTTCTCCTGTTGCTTAAACTCTCCTAACATCTTTTGGAGGCAAAAAACAATCCCCCCCCATATCAACCTCCCTTTCCCCCCATACAAAACAAAGGCAATTTTTGCCAATATTATGTGCCTTCCAATTGGAAAGAGAAAATTCAGATTCTCTACTAAAACCAAAATTATTAAATCAAAGTTAGGGAGGCCTCCCTGTGGTCAATCTTGACATTAAAAGACTGAATGTTTATTATATAAAAGCATGAGCATTTATTATATAAAAACAATGTAGTAACATCCATTTGTTCTATTGTAGTACTGTAGAATATTTAAAAATGTGCTGGAAATGCCATAAAGAACAAGAGGCCAGATTCACATTAAATATGCCCTCTGTCATAGTCCAAAACACATACACTTTCTCCTTGGTGCAGGAAGAAGATAGAAGAATAAGAATGTATGCGGGTGAAAATAAAAATGAATGATACAGCACCAATATAATGGTGGGGATTACAGGCCTCCAAGTCAGAAACAAGAGGTGGATGAGGCACTCTTCAAGGAGGTGACAAACTTATCCAAAAATTATGAGATGGTACTGATAGGAGACTTCAGTTTTATGGACATCTCTTGGAAGAACCATACAGCCAAATGTAAAATGTTGAGCCACTTCCTAACTTGTGTGGTTGATGACTTTGTTTTAGAAGGTCGAGGATACAGCTTGAGGATTCTCTTTCTTGGATCTTATCCTGACCAATAGGAAAGACTTGGTGGAGGTTGCTTCTAAAAAGCACAATATTGGAGGCCCAATGATAAACTGTTCTGACCCAATGGAAGCCAAAGAAGAATGGTAAGAAACCAATGTGGCTGCACAAGGAGGTTCTAGGAGCCTCAGATGAAAAAGGAAAGCATACAGGCATTGGGCAAAATGGGCAGGTCACCAAGGAAACACCAAAAATGAGGTTTTATAAATATGTTGGCCAGAAAAGAAAGACCAAAGAAGCTGTGTGTCCACTGTCAAATGCCATCGTAGCAGAAGATGCTATGAAGGTGGAGCACTCAATACCTATTTACCCTCAGTCTTCATGAAAAAATGTAGCTGCAACCAGACACCTAAAAAAGTTCACTTTGATAAAGAAGTGGACAAACTAGGGATGAGATAACAAAAGAGCAGTCAGTCAGCTTTTGAGTTGTCTGAATTCTGTTCAGTGAACTTGTTTGCTACCACATGGGACTGGGAGGTAATTTTTTCTGCTCCTGCTGCTGTGTGTCAGGGGTTTCTTTTTACACTTTCCTCAGAAGCAGTGGGTGTTGGCTGCAGCCAGGGCTGGGGATTTTAACTGGAATGTGCCAGAAGTCCTGCTTGGACTTAAACGCAGAGGTTCCTGGCTAGAGGGCCTTGCCCCTCTACTCAGGGTCAGACTGATCACCATATTTGGGGTCAGAAAGCAATTTTACCCCATGGTCAGACTAGTACCAACTGTGGGGGTGTTTGCTTTTCTCTGTAGTGGGGGACATGGCCATCTTTCTTGGATCTCTTGAGTGTATTTTAACAATTTTTGCAGCAGCAGGACATTGGCCACCATAGCTCCCTTGCTTTACCTGTGGCAGATTAAGGTGTTATGTCTTGTGGTTGTGTCAAGGTTGACTGTGTAGTTTTGTTAATAAGATAGATAATGGGTTTGTATTAGGGGTGTGCGAAGTGGGCTGTATTAGATTCAGATTTGGATTCAGCCCGATTCGGCGGACAGTGATTCAATTCGCTGATTAGGATCACTGTCCCAATTCGATTCGGCCGAATCCGAATCTGATTTTATTCTGATTCAGAGAATCGGTAATATGGCCATAGACACAGCTTTATATGTTTTTGTTCTACATACCTTGAGGTACCAGGCACGGCTCGTGAACGCTAACATGGGGCGGATGGAGTGTCCCACAGGAGTGCAGGGTGGCCTCCTGCGTGCTTGGTAGTGGACCAGGAAGTGGACCGGAAGTACTTCCAGTTCGCTTGCAGGTCCACCACTGACCATGTGGGGGACCCCTCTGCACCCCCTGGCTTGGCGATTGACCACAGGGGGCACCCCAGGTGCCCCCCCAGACTCAGGAGGCACCAGTCACTGAGCCGGGGGGGGGTCCCCTGCATGCTCCGTGGCGGACCTGGAAGTGGATGGGTCTGCTGCTGAGCACGCTGGGGACCCCCTCCGCACTCCTGTAGGATGTTCCATCCACCCCACCATTTCAGTGTTCACGAGCTGCTAGAGCTGTGCAAAGCTTCGGGTGGTGATTCGATTTGGAGGAGATTTGGCCCGATTTGGTGGCCGAATTTCCAAATCCAAATCGAATCAGGGGACCAATTTAAAGGTCCAAATTGATTTAAAGCTCTCTGAATCTTTGGAAAAAAATCTTCTGGGACTCACCACTCCTGCAGCGGCCTCAGGGGCTTGTGCAGAACCCCCAACATGGTATGGGGTAGTGGGGGGCAGTGAGGATCGCCCCCCGCTGGCAGGAGTGGTGAATGTGAGGGTTTTCTCATTTTTTTTCTTAAAGGGTTGGAGCTGGCTTGGGCGGGGCACCTGTGGAGGGGCTGGGGGGGCAAGGAGGGGGGGCAGTGTCAGGAGTCTCATGCAGAGCGCTCCATGAAGCATGGGGCAGTGGGGATCGGTCCCCCCCCCCCCGGTAGTACTTGGTAGTCAGGGGGAGGGGTGTCCAAAAAGCCTGTGCAGCCATTGCCAGGCTGGGAGAGCGGGCAGGGGATGGGCCTGGCCTGGGTGATTTGGAAATTTGGCAGTAGCTGAATTGAATCGCAAAAGTGATTCAAATCACTGAATTGAATCACCATCCCCCGAATTGGCTGAATCCAAATATGAAGCGAATACTAGCCGCTTTGCAGGAACCACCTGGTACCTTGAGTTATGTAGAAAAAATATACAAAGCTGTGTCTATGTCTGAATCATCAAATCTCTCTGTATCAAATCGGAGGCTTGCGATTTGATTTGGAGAGATTAATGGGTCTCCTGAATTGGGGCGAATCTCCTCTGAATCGAATCAGTGACTGAAGCTTCGCACAGCCCTAGTTTGTACAGGATAGTTTGGATAGGGAAGATTCTGTCTCAGGCTGGGGGTTGGACTAGATGACCTATGGAGGTCCCTTCCAGTCCTACTTCTCTATGATTCCAAGAGTGAAGATTTTTTAGACTGAAGCTTTTCCAGTAAAACTAGTATTAACAGAGTTTCCTTTATTGTTCTATCCCCAGGTTTGGTCATTGTAAAATGGAAAAAATAAGGATCTTAGAAAGAATACAAATTATTAAAAGCTGTAAGCAAGATATGTCCATAAATCATGAGCTTCCACTGAAAGACAAGATAAAAAAATTAATCTCACATACAAATATAAACATGAGGGCCTAAGTCAGACAATTATATTTAACAAGAACTAAGAAAAGATATATAAAAAATGGAAACTATGCCAAAAGATTGGCTGTCATTTTATAGCACCCAGCACAATGGAGTCCTGATTCTGAATGGGATCTTCAAGGCACTTCTGTAATATACTTCATAAATTAGTTAACCTGACTAAGATGACATCCATCCTAGATCTTCAGATTTAAACAAAAAAGATTTAACAATGTGTATCATAGTCATCATTAGGGTATTTGAAAATTAAACTTAGAATGTTAAAGCCCTAAAATTGCATGCACAGGTGAGGGACAAACATTTGGCAATGTGCCACAAACTAGTCCTCCACTCTCCCTAAGTGCCATTCTGATCCACTTCTCCTGTCCAACCTGCTGCTCTACTTTCTATTCCTAGCCCTGGGCTCCCTGCCCGATTTGCTGCTCTGCTTTCTGCTTCCATCCTTATGCTCCCTGACAGATCTGCTGCTTTACTTTCTGCTTCCTGCCCCACCTGCTACTATTCTACCTGTTCTCCCCAACCCAATACGCCATGTGCTAAACCCAGAAGCTGCCTGTGCCACTTATGGTGCCCATGCTGCAGGTTGGCCATCCTTAGCATGCATCATGGTAGCAGTCAAAACTTGGAGTAAAATGTTTGTCAGGTTCATGTTAATTGCCTAACCATTTACTTTAATAACAATAATACTGAAATAATAACATTATAAATGATGGAAACCAGTAGCAAATACATTCAGTTTTGTTTCATGGTCATTAATAAAATTGACTAAGATATATATAGTTACTGGAGCTTTATATCCCAAGGCTTTATATGCCTTGATCTTTGTAAGGTTGAAAACCACTGATCTATGGATTTGCATTTTCACAGACATGCTTGTTGTAAATTTGCTTCTTTTCTATCTTGGAGAACACATAACACTAGCAGAGTTTCCCTATGCCTGATGAAGGGTCTTTGTGCCTGAAAACTTGCAAAGAACTTTTTCCCAACATTTTAGTCGGTCTAATAAAAGATATCACATCTACCCAAAGAACCTTGCCTGCCTTTTAAAGATTAAGGCACCCTTGCATAACTTGTTTGGAATTTAGCGGCATCCTATTTAAGGATCGATTTATTTCTTACAGTGCTTACCTCCTTGCACCCCATGGCACTCTTATAAGAATCCCATGGGCAGCATTGGGCAGGGTACTCATGAGACCATAGTGGAGGGTGGTGCATGAAGCTGCTAGGCAGGGCAAATTGAGGAACTACAGAGTGGGTTATTAGGCCCCTGCAGGAAGCAGCTGTTCCTGCAGGACTCAGAAGGGGGTGACAGACTGGTGCCAGGTGAGGGCAGAGGGAGCAAAATTCTGCCATGCCCTGGTGATTCTGCTGTCTGCCCCCTCTCTGCTCCTGGCCTGCACCTGAGGGGATGACTGCAATCCCCCACCACTGAAGCTGCTCCTCCAGGGACTTGAATGCCAGTGACTGGGGTCACCATTCCTTGCCAACTCTGGGAGCATGACAGGAGCATGGTAAATGAGCCAGGTTTAAAAAAGTACAATTGCATTTGCTTGTGGGCCATGGCAAAGCGCAGTTTACAGCATGGAAGCATTTGGCTCAGGCTGCTGAAGGAGTGGGGGCTGAGCTCTTCAGCTCAGCTCATTTTCTTGTTCCTCTCATGCTCCTGAAGGTAGTGGGAAGGGCTTCAAGCAATGGTGTCAGGACACTAGGACAGGCACAGGGTGCCCAGCATGTGGAGTAGTCAGTGCTTACCTCCTCTCACAGGAGCTGGGCATTGCAGCGCCCTTCTTTTTAATATGTAAAATAGGTGTGAAAACAGAAATATATCCAGGAATTCATCCACGAGGCAAAGGCTGAAAGGAGGAAAGAACAAACTCACAAAGCAAAAAATATGAGGTGTTTTCATATAGAAACAGTTTCTGGCAGCAACTCCATTTCAGCCCCTACATGAAAGAGTGAAAAACAAATCAAGAACATGATTCTATGTTATGTTTTTATAGAAGCCTATGAAAGCGTCTAGGACAGTAAAAGAGATAAATTAAAATTACAAACACATTCATCATCTTCCTATTAGTTGCCTAGTGAATGTAGCCACATCCTCAGAGCTCTGCCTCCTACTGTCCTGGTAATGTGGAACAGAAGTATTATCACTGGAGCCCTTTCTGCCACCTTCCAGATCTATTCCCTTCCAAGACACTTCAGTAAGAATAGATACTACCATCATTACAACGGAGCTCTGTGATCTGAATCTCACCTACCGTGGGTGCAAAAACAAATCTTTATCATGGCAATAAGCACTTCTGAGAAAAGCATGACAGTTTGAACGTGAGGGAGAAAGAGGGATATTGTACCCTAAGGAAATTTGTAAAATCTAAAGAAAAGGAACATTTAGCTGAGATGTCAAAATCAGCTATAACAACAAATCAGAGATGGTTAAGGCAGAGGAGCATGGAGGGGAAGAGGATGTGGAATTCTCATCTGCCTGGGGGAACTTATCAACGTCTCCAGCTGCTGTGTTAGTGGTTTCACAAGTTTAAATTCCTCCTCTTGTGAAGGTTTGTGGCTTATTTCTACTGCCATCTTTAGAAGCAGGATATAGATGTTCCTATTAATACTGAAAGATTTTACTTAAAAATATTTTAATGAAAATTTACATAGTGTAACTGAACATAGAATTTGGGGTATTAATTGCAATGTAGTGATACCAGAGCCAGTAAGGAGACTCTCTCTTTCTCCTTGTGCCAGAGTGATCAAAGGAGTAAAGATCAATAAAAGCTTGTGCAATGAAAACAAGTGTTTTTAACTGCAGACATACAGATCTGTGGAAGTAAATTCTTTGATTTCTTAATTTTCTTTAAGCAGATTTTTATATCTGCTTAACAGAAAATGAGCTATGTGAAGGATATAAACATTATAACCAATATAATGAGTAGAGGGGACAGACTGTTGTAGCTGTGATGTTCCAGGAAATGTATGAGGCAAGGGTTTTTGTAGCATCTTTTACTGGACCGGATGGGAGAGGGGTTAAACAAGCTTTCAGGCACTAACCGCCCTTCCTTAATCACTCACCTCAATGTAACTTCTAAAAGGTACATTTCAATAATAGTTAGCTGTTAGACTGACAACATTGCTGTTAGATAAGAAATCATACTTTTGAGACTCTTACCTCTTTCCAATGGTGAATTTTAAGGGACAAACCCATCAAGGAGTTTTTTTGTTTAAGAAATAAAATAGAAAATGCAGCCTTGGCTCTAATGGAAAAGACTGTTACAGCACTACATAGGTTCAGAGGCCAAACACATATATTAGAGAAGTGGTTTTCAACCTGTTGTCTGTGGACCGGGGTTCACACATTATATCTATCTAAGGGAAAGATGACTATGATCAATCAAAAGTATGCGAATACCCACGCTTACAATTCAAACGGGTCTGCACCGCCATTCAAAATTTCCAAAGGGCTCAGCATGTCTAGTCAACATTTTTTAGGGGTCCACAAATGAAAAAAAGGTTGAAAACCAATGTATTAGAGCAATTTGATTTATACAATATTGTAATCGTCAATGAATGGGACTCATAACTCTAGTTCACATTCTAGAACCAGAAATATTGCATTTTAGTATGCTAAAAGCATCAAATGTTCTCACTTCAGTCTTTATAGGAGATGAAGTTCACACACAATTGACGCGATAATTCTCAAAAGCAAGGGTAAAATGATCTTTTCTAAGCAGGTTAGCCAAGACTACCAATAAAGATGACTTGATAATGTCTATTACAAATGAGTTCTAATGTTATAAATTCTTTTATTTCATTTGTATTATGAACAACATAGGAAAGAAATAGTTTTTTTCCCCTTCTAATGTACCAATTTCTGTAATTTCCTAGTAGAAATAAGAACAAATTTTAAAATTTAAGTTTCAAGGAGATAGATAAAACTTTACTGTCTGAACTCTGGCGGAATAATAAATATATAAAAATAATAGTTAACGTGGCTGAAAGAAAATCGAACCAAGAGGAAATTCAGATTTCATGACACACTAAGCTCAACTCTCATTTTGCTGGCATTTGTCAAGTTTATTTAAAGATAGTTTTTCTTCTATAAATGTTTAACATATTTATAATTTATAATATATTTATAAAATGGCTTACATTAAGGCATAATAGAACTGGTTGAAGTGTCCAACAGAAGCTTCTCTAATGTTCTGCGTACCTAGAGTCTGGTTCAGATTAGTCTCAGGGTATGGACAGACAACACATTTGTGGTGCTCCAAGTGCCTTTAAAGTTCTCTAAAAGCTGAGAGTACAGGTAATTCCCAGTGATGAAGTGTCACAAACTGTAATATAGACCAAACAGGAGAGGGGAAAATAAAATGGGAAAAATCTCAGCACTACTCATCACGTTGCATTTGGTTCATTTGAAAACCAGACTAAATATATCACAGGCTCCAGAATACAGGAAACTTTTAAAGAAACTCACTATCATTTTACCCAGAGTTCACTCAACTTGGTAGATAGGGCCTAGGTTAAGGTCCCCCAGGCTTATGCAGAAACTGGTAAACTGCTGACCCCAAAATGTGATTTTATAAATAGGCTTTCATTATCCTGGAAAAAAATACTGTCCACCTAACATGAGGTGATAGAGAGAAAGCAAACAAATTTACAGTACAAAAGATACAATGCAAACTTTTAGAAAGCGCAGTCAGAGTTGACATGGGATCTGTGTCCACAGATACTAAAGAAAAGTCTTTCAGAATTTGACCCAACAAGCCAGTGGAAGCTTCTTAATGTAAATGCATTGCTCTGTACATTAATACTGAGATTACACTCTTCAAAGTGCCACACTGCTGTGCAAGATATCTTTGCTCAGAAGGGTAGTATTTATGAGTGGCAGAGGGATGCCTTTGCCACTTGAGTTAACAAATCACATTCTATTTTCAGGATATTGTTTTTAATGGACTGGAATGTATAAAGTTCAAAACAGAATTTAATGTCTTAAAATAAATTAAATTGCCTTGATTCAGTACTCTCTCACACAAAATTGATTTTATATAATCCAATGTTAATCTGACTAAACTGTCCCTCTACATCACCATTAATGCCTAGGGAAATTAATCAGAAATTAAGAAATGTCCACATTTGGGATATTTCAAGCTGTACTGGCAGCTTGCTAAAACCAGCTGTGCCTAATTATGTTAAAACTGAACAGACTGTAGTTTCCTTCATCTTCACTGTGACGATGCAACCCTGACATTGCAAGGTAGGACCTTTACTCTCCAGCACAAGGAAAAGTCAGGATGGTCACTGCCTCATTTTAGAACCTTGCAGATCACACTTGGGTCACGCCTGGGATAAAGACAAAATATGGCTTGAGCTGGATGACCAGTTACAAAATTGTAACTAATTCCTAAATCCAAGCAATATATACAAACAAACTAACTGTTAAATCACACATGCTCCTTTGAAAAAGAGAACATCAAACTATTTTCTTCAACATTAGAAATCAAACCTATATTGATAACAAGTGTAAGTAGAGGCTCACAGAAAATAGCTGAATTTCTCATATCAGTTTGTCTTCAAAATTTCCCAAGAGACAATTCTGTAACCACGAATTAATGTTATTTCCTGATCTGTGAGACAAATAAGGGGCTCTCTTTTTAAACCAACATACATAATGACTCTATCTATTGTGTCAGACTCTGGAAAGTCTAATCAATCGATACTTTTTCAAAGACAGCCATAGAATTCATATGAATGCTTATGATGCTTCTAGTAGATCCACTCATCCTGCCTTTTAATCTAGATCAAGGGTGCTCAATCCCCAGGCCATGGGCCGGATCCAGCCCCTGGCCCTTTGTAATTCAGCCTGTGGGGCTCCCAACTGGATTCTGTGGGGAGCCCTGTGCGCTAGATCAGGTGTCTAGTGTGGTACAGCGCCTGACACTGGTGTATGGGGGGCTGGGCTATGATGGCACAGAGCCCAATATCGGCTGGATGGCTCACAGGCTGGATCAGGCCCTGTGCTGCCCCCTGTACACTGGGATAGGGCTCCAGCCTGGTCAGGGTGGCGTGGGCCCCAGAGCCTGGTCCCAGTGCATGGAGGTGGTGCAGACCCAACCTGGTCCATGGACTGGCTCCATGCCATTCATCTGGTCCATGGGGTCCAAAAATGTGAGCACCACTGAGCTAGACTATAATCCAACCCAGTACCTAGTAGTAAAACAAACAAACAAAAAGTTAAGAGATTAATTTAATGACCATGGTAATATAAATCCTTTCAGAAGGCTCGTAATTTAGCCAGTTCTTAGCATTGCTGGAGCATAAGTTTATACTAAACCATTCACTTGCATCAATGGCTTTTACAAGTAGAAAATAGTCTCAGAAGGGAAAGTGCTAAAACTACTCTACTTCCTCTCAGCATTGCATTGTAGCAGGTTTGTCCACTGCTTTTCTTCCATATTAACCTACACTATGTTAAAGCAGCACCACAGCCACACAAGCGCAGAGTGCCATATACATAAAAGTTCTTACTGGTATCCTGGTATAATGAAATAGGAACAGGTAAAAGGCATCCACTAATAAAATGATCGCTAAAATTCATACATCAGAACCTTGGTAAAGCACCATATTTCAGAAAGGTGTTTGAAGTGCACAGCTGTATCTGAAGTTGGAGGCAGAGTATTCTTGAATTTGATGATCAGATTCCCAGTGAGGTTCTTCAGCGAGTATGACCACTACAGAACCAGTCTAATTACTTACTGGTTTTATGCAGAAAAAAAGGGGGAGGGGAAAGAGGGTTTCCTATTACATCTTCTAGTCCAACTGGTTCTTTTCTACTTCAACACTTTTGCTTTCACAGTTGTCCTTGTTTTGATTAGCTGATTCTTCTATATGTGAGCTGGAATTTTTTGGTTGTTCTAGTTGTGTGCTGGGATCAGTCAGCTCCCCAGTATTTGGGGAGGGGTTCTGGGTCTCCTCTACACTCAGGGTAGCATTACTTTGGTCCTTTGCATGAAGTGTGGGGTTGGTCATTTGTTCTGCTTCTTGTTGAGATGCTGGTGCATTTACATCTTTGGGGGGTTCAGGACAGCTGATGGGAGCCAACACCAAAGGAGGATGAGGTAGGTCTTTCTGTAAAAGAAAATTGTTTTTTTTAGAATGATGGGAAGTGAGAAGAAAGAGCTACTACTCCTACTAAGGACAACATTAGCAGTGACTGATCAAAACATGCTAGTTTCTACAGGAAACCAGCCATCATACTGAGGGTGCAGACTGACCAAACAATTATACTGACTGAAAACATAGGGGAAATGTACTGAGTTTTAAAGTGATTTGTAATAATTGGTCCATGTGCCCGCTCTATGATACAGGTAATGGATGTCAAACTACAGTAATTTAAGAATGGTTTCATTCTGGAATAAGGTGCCCTGATTTAAGTTCACTTATGCAGGATGCAAATGGGTGCACAAAACATAAAATGGATCATTTGATGCACTCACAAGTGCTATGTCTTTCTCACCACTTTAAAGTAGTAAAATTGTTTCATCTGTCTACTGCTTGAGTGTCCAGTATTCATTACATGATAACGGGTGGTAGAGGTAAAAACAATGTTAGCTAAAGGCTAACAAGAGGGCTACAATTGCAGTAACTTCAAACCCCAAAAGATTTACTTTTGGGATAAGTCCCACCGATTCACAAAAACAAAAGGAAATGTCCACAGCAGGCTCATAAAATGCTTAAAGTCTTAGAAATTAAGGCTTAAAGGGTTCATTATTTCTAACTGATTTGGGAAGTGACAGGCATACATTTAACTTTTAAAAAGGAATAGGGAATTGGCACTCATGAGCATGCATCAACAGTTGTAATGAAGTTGTTAAGTGTGCACGCTCCTAAAGTTGCAAGCCAAACTGCAGACTTTAACCCTGAATGAAACAGCATGGAAGTTGCAACAGTTTTGCAGAGACAGATGTAACAGTTAAATCAGAACACCTAATTACCAGTACAATTTAATATTAGACAGTCAGAGAGCTTTTGATGGGTCTGAATGAATTCAAAATCAGCAGGGCCTGATAAACTTCAAACCAGGTACTCAAGAAACTGGTAGAGATGATCTTGGAGCCATAGGCAATAATATTTTCAAAGTCATGGGAGATGGGCAAGGTACCAGAGGACTGGAAAAGGGCCAGTGTAGTGTCCCTCTTTAAAGAAGGCAGGACCCGGGGGACAACACACTGGTTTGCCTCACCTCAATACCTGGAAAGTTACTGCAGCATATTCTAAGGAAGTTCCCTTGAAAGCATCTGGATGAGGAAAGGCTGATCACAAGCAGCCACCACGGATTTACTAAGAACAAATTGTGTCAAAATTGATCTCAATCTTTGGAGAAATATGATCTAGACTAAACTACTATGGGATGGACAGACAGCTGACTCAGTAGCTGCAAGTAAAGGGTAATTATAAATGGATTCATATCGGAAAGGCATGTTTTGAGTGGAGTCCCACAGGGGTCTGTCCCAGGCCTGGTACTGTTCAATGTGTTTATTAATGATTTGGATGCTGGCATAGAAAGCTTCTTGATTAAATCTGCAAATGACATAAAACTAGGAGGCACCAGGAAAGCACTGAAGGATGGGAGTGCAATTCAGTAGTTTCTTGACCGGGGTGGGCAATTATTTGGGCTGGACGGCCACTTAAGTATGGGTACTGATCCTGTGAGGAGGGGAGGGAGGAAGAAGTGCTGATGTGACCGGCATTGTAGGAAGGGGGGTGCTGACATGGGGCAGTGTGGCAGAGTGGGGTGGCAATTGTGGGTGGCAGTCCAGCCTGGCTCAGCCCATCCGTCCCAACTCCACCCCCAGAGACTCCTGATGTCTTTTTTAAAGCCTTCTTCAGAAGTAGTGGGTGTTGGCTGCAGCCAGAGCTGGGGATTTTGAGTAGGGTGTGCCAACGCTTCTGCTGGGACTTAAACCTGGAGGTTCCTGGCTAGAAGGTCTTGCATCTATGCTTAGGCTCAGATAAAGTGCCATTTTCAGGGTCAGAAAATATTTTACCCCATGGTTAGATTGGTATAGATGGGGGGGAGGGAGGGGGGGGGTTGCCATCCTTTGTAGCAGGAGACATGGCTCTCTTTCTTGGATCTCTCAAGAGTATTTTAACAACTTTTGAAGCAGCAAGATATTGGCCACCATGGTCCCCCTGCTTTACCTGTGGCAGATTAGGGTGTTATGTCTTGTGCTTGTGTCAAGGTTGACTGCGTAGTTTTGTTAATAGGGTAGACAATGGGTTTGTATAGATTGGATTGGATAGGGATGATCCTGCCTCAGGTAGAGGGGTTGGACTAGGTGACCTATGGAGGTCCGTTCCAGCCCTACTTCTCTACGATTCATATAACTACTGTTTTTGTCCATGTATTACTTCCTTCTTAGGTGGAAAAATGTTTTGGAGTTCTGCCATTTCTTTCTTCATAGTGATAAATTTCATTGATCATTAATGATAAATAATGACTGATACTTTTCAGAGGATCTCAAAGCAGTTTAATAGTAATTGAACTTAAAAATCTCTATTATGAGTTTTTATTCTCATTATAGATTTGAAGATCTAAAATACAGAAATGGTCAATGACTTGTCACTGGATCACTAGTGGAACAGACTGCAGAGGGGAAGTGGGAGTAAAGGCAGGAGGCTGCTGTGGGTCTGACACTGCCCCAACCTGGGCTCAGGGTCAGAGTCAGAGTCACAGCAGCTGCCTGCTCCCTGCTTCACTGCATGTGAAAATATAAGATGAGGAGCTTTATTCCCTCATGCTGCTTCAGGGAAAATACCTCATTGTATATTTGAGTAAATATAGTATTTGATATTTTTATTTTACCTAGACAAGTTTCTGCAAGCTTCAGGTCAAGTTATATTCATTATCAAGTCAAATTCAAGCTGTTACTATAGGCAAGGGTCTATTTTTACACTGTGAACTGCCTACAGAATAAAATGACCATATTTTAAAACTACATGTAGCATCTCAATGAGGCTTATAGTGTGCAAACAACCCTTTATAATGTGCAGGAATTTATATAAAGAATTATTATTTATAGTAAAGAAGTAAGAGTCTTGCTACTGTTCTTGCAATGGTCTGGGACCTAGCTTTGTTACTATTCTACCATAGCAGGAAGTTCCCACTGGCCCTACCCAGACTGTTTTTTGGGGTGCCAAACTTAGACACTGCATTCCCAGGAGGATTATTGTACACCACACTACATACTTCTGTAGAAACTTTGTATGGTGATGAAATACTCAAGCACAAGAATGTTTTTTTTTTTAAAGTGTGGCTTCTGGGTCAGCAGTGGTATTAAAATATTTCTCCAACTGGAGGACCCTCTTCAGTAACTTAATCTTCAAAAAGAGGCCCAGTCTACGCTTAACAAGTTTTGCTTGAATAGCTATAGAGGTTTGAAGTATGAAAAAAAAAAATCATAAACCAAACCAACGTAAGTAAACCAGCAAAGGCCCAGACTAGCTTCAGAAAACTGGTATTATATACTAGCAAAAACCTTGTTGGCCTGCATAAACTAAGGGATTTCCCCTTAGAGAGCTCACCATCATAACAATATTGGAAACCGCATCAACTATAGACAAGACCAAAGCTTATCAAAAGTACTGAACAACTGACTTAATTCACTTTGAGCAAAAGAACAGCTTTGAAAATGTCTGTATTTGTGGACCTTCCCTGTGCTCCAAACTCTGTTGATCCCACTGAACCCTAATTTCACTGGACAGTATTTCGTGATGAATGCACAACAAATTATACTTGGTACTGCAGCACATTACGAATAAACATTTTATAGTTCCAAAATAACACAAAAGTGTGTTGACTGAAATGATATATGACGATATTTCACAGTTCCTGAAAGAAGCTGCCTGACATCAGAATAGGACTTTTACTCTCTCTACTACAGAGTCACCAACAATTTTTCTCCCTTGTATTAAACACCTATTCAGTGAACTGTCCCTTATTTTGGGGTACTGTCTTCTTCTTTCAGCAAACAATACTGACCGCCTTCAAACTGGATGCATTTTAACTTACAGCAAAAAGTAAAAACAGACCAGTCATAGATGATGATTTGAGATGCTATGCTAGCTCCCCACCTCACCCCCACACAATCTAGGCTATGAAAGGAAGATCTACAAATATGAATAAATTTAAGGGAGTTACTATCTGAAGTTATATTAAACAACTATGAATGAAAATGTACATCATAATCCCCCCAAATTATGTAATGATCAGGTTGCTTAGGAAGGCACTTATCTACTTCACACTGGTCAGTTTTGCTGCCCACAAACATTAAAGTAACAATCACAAGATCATGTCCAACAATTACTAAAGCAAATAAAATAATACTTAGGATCAAAAAGGGAACTTCAAAATATAAAGATCTTTGTTTTGTTGGGTAGTACTACAATATTTTACTCAACTTTAATTCTAGTTAGGTTTATAGTATTATTATTCTTGAAGACAGTCATATCAAACTGGTATTCACCGCAAAGCCGCTGCCTGTCCAGAACATTGTAAGCTCCTTTCGCCAAAGAGCAACAGCAAAGCTAGTGATAAGAGTACAGGGTACCAAGTAGAGGAGAGCTGGCTGACCCATCTGCATCAATGCCAAGGCTACAAAAGTCACCAGAAGGCCAATGCCATATGCTAAAAGGAGATAAAAAATGCAAAATGAAGTTATTCAGACAGTTTTGCTTAATAATGGCCATATTGTTATCCTGAAAAATCATCTAATGTTAATTTATGTTATGATATTAATTTATGATATTTAAGTAATATCATAAAACTCCTTTTACTGTTTAGTATACGTGGTGTAATGAATTCAATAACTGAAAGTGAAATAAACTGAAACAAATTCTATGCATCACTTCAGTGCTAAAAATAATCAAAACACTGGCATTTAAAACACACACTATTTTTTAATGAAATGTAAACAAAATACAGATAACATTACTGTCGGACTACTACAACTGGTACACTGCTTGTAACTTGGAAATTCTTGCTTATATGTTTTGCTTATTTAGTGAAACACTATTAAGCAAATATCTAGCTATGTGTTACTACTCATTAAAATTTATTTTTACTTATGGTATAATATACTGCAGAAAATATTAAACTGAATATAAAATATCTTCAAAAGCTTTCAGGGCAAGTTCCTGCAAGTATGTCAGGTGTAGGCTGATAAATCTAATTCCTCAACAAAAATTCCCAGTACTTGGAGTTAATATTATATAGAAATATTTTATAGCATTTACTGAACCATTAAGTCAGCTAAGCAAACTTCTACCAAAGCAAGGTAAGTAATGGAAGTAATATCTACTTTATTTCATTTCATTAATATGGCAAAGAGTATAAAAGTAATTTTTGTACCTAGACTACTACATTTTTGTGGCAATTTTACACAGCTGATTTCAGAGTAGAATGCTGCAGTTTTAATCAAGGAATTCAAAATTAGAGTCATGCTTAATAATCCAAGTTTCTGAATAGAAATATAACAGGAATGTAAAGTACCATTAAATCACCATTGGAGACTCAGTGGAACCTGTAATTCTTACAACAATTCTGGCAGTTGTTTTTCTTAAAGCTTTTTCGGTGCCTTCAGTTGCTAGTATATTCAAACTTTTCTATCTTAAGTATGGACTTAAAGGGGTTTACATATTTAAGAAATATGAACATATGTTGCAGTCAGAATGCGAGTCTGCAAATTCTACAGATTCCATATATTTAATACACAGTTAAGTGAAATACACTGAATACAGCCAAAAGTCAGTCACAACCCTAGAGCCTCCCCAAAGTGAAAGGCATCACTTTCCAGAGATAACTTGCTTTAAAATTATAGACCATGTTTTCAAGTTAGGAGGTAGTAAAATTACCAACAGCCTTTTCTGAAATTGAAGCCCTCTGATGTTTCTGCCTGTCATTTTGCAATTATACTGGTCGTTTATCTCAAACTTGAAGAAACATTTTCCTCTGTTAATAGCAGACCCTAAATGAAGGAAGTTCCAAGTTAATGTGCTTATGGCCAGATCCAAACTGTCCTTGCTGGTGCCTAAACATGCCTTGCATGGAATTTAGTCTCCTAAACCATGAAAAACAATCCAGATCAACCTCACTGCAGTGGCCACAAAACCACTTGGATGACCAGAATTATTAAATACCCCATTTTGGTCTGAAAAATTCCCTATGTGTTTTGGCTTAAGCTTGTGTACACGGTCAGAAGTGACTTAGGTCACTAAACTATTTTTTAAGCCAGTGATTTTCAACCAAGATACCGCAGCACCTTGGGGTGTCTTGAGAGCCTTTCAAGGGTAGTGTGAGGTGCCATACAATGCTAACACTGTTAACACCTAACAGTTAACACAGTGGTATGCAAACAAAATTTGCAAGATAAACCCAGAGATTTCAAATAGGGATCCATAATCTTAAAAACACTGTGACCTGTTGTGATCTTTCTGAGTTCTTTGCAACAGAAAAAAGTCACTTTTTTTTTTTTTTTTTTTACTTTGGAAAAATAGTAGAGTGAAAGCTAAGATCTGGCATTTTCTGAGGGATGCCTTGAGTCTAAAAAAAGGTTAAGAAGCACTGCTCTAAACCAGTGATGTCTAATCAGGGTACTGCACAAAATTAGCAGTTAGGTGTGCAAACACCTACACACGATTCACAAGACATACCAGTTGATTTAAAATAGGAACCTATACTGTTAAAAACATTCTGAACTATTGTGATTTTTCTGAACAGAAGAATAGCTCTATTATTTTCCCATAGTCAAAAAAAGAAGCGAAAGCTAAGAGCTGGCATTTTCCAAGGGTGTCTATGGAGTCTACGGAGATTCCATTTTCTGGAGTCTATGGAGGGGTGTCTTGATTCTAAAAAGGTTGAGAAGCATTACTTTAAGTCAGGGATGGGCAAGTAGTTGGGCCCAAAGGCCACACAGGGAGTTTTGATGAACTGTTATAGATTGGGTCAGCACCGCACCCCGCTCCCTTGGCAACAACTCATCAAACTCCCTATGGGGCTTTGCGTGGTTGGGGAGCAATGCTTGGGAGTGAGGCGCACATAATCCACTCCCTGCATACCCTGCCCTGTGGGGGGAGGGAGGTGAAAGGGAGG